GATGTTTTGGGTTTTTGTTTTGTGATTTTTTTTTTTTTTTTTTTCTGGTGCGGGGAACATCCAACCACAAGGTTGGAGGTTCAAACACACCAGTAGCTCCTCAGAAACCCTACACAGGGTTTCTATGAGTTGGAACCAACTTGACAGCACTTAATAACAACAACAACATAGTAAAAGTACTCGATACACTTATTTACAGAAGTAGAGAATTGCATAAAATATATGGAATAGAGAAATGCATGAGATATATGCCTATACGTATGGAAACAGAAGAATCTAATGGTGTCTCAGGTTTTCCCTGTATAATGTTGTTTTCCTGCTTTTGACTAAATACAGCTAAATGGGAGATAAGATGGACTGACAGATTATGTCACCTAATACACTTATAGTCAAGCAATACAATATCAATGAATCTGGGAAAGACAATCCTAACTCCTTCTGTAGCTCTCCAAATTCCGTCGTGATTAACTTAAAAGTGAGCCCAGCGTTTGCAGCCATTGGTATAGGCAGCTCTGTAGAGTTCTGTCTTGAGATTCGGCAGCAGGGATAACAAGGTGTGATATGATGTGGGTAATGGGTCACTTCTTGAAACTTGTGCTTTTAACATAACCATTTAAAATTCATACAATGGAACAGAATATAATGCATGAATGCAGGTTCATTAAACTAATGCATTTTTTGAAATACAAAATATGACAGAACATTTCATTATTGACGCAGATATGAAAAAAAAAAAAAAGTGTTATGCTGCTATTTAGAATGTGTCTTGTGTGTCATGGAATTGAAATATTTCCAAATCATCAATAATTAAAATGATGAGAATCCATCATTTCACTGACATTTACTTCTACATGAAAAGATGGCCTATTTTAAATGTGCTCACACATATTCTTGTCAATCACAAGCTGTCACAGCAAATTATTTCATTTTGTAGCTCACGTGGCAGTTAGCAGGCTATCTCTAGGTTTAAATTGAGCTCTAGGTGTAGGAGTAGTGCACTCTTTATATATATATATTTCCCCCCTGTAACTGCTTCTTCACAATGCAGTATATAAAAGATATAAAATCGTATTCATAATACTCCGTTTCATGTCTGATTAATAAAACTCAGGACTAAAATAAATGGTAACTCAGAAAGGCAAATAGTAGAATATATAGGAAACAGTAGAAATATAAAACTACAAAAATGTAAAAACATTAAGTGCTCCATACAAGGAAACTTGGATCTAGCAATTTAAGCCCAAACAGTTTTCTCCCTCATCTTCTTAATACATTCATATAATTAGAGGTCAAGAACCATTTCTTATGCTATGTTTGCATTGCCTATAGCTCCCAGCATTTATAAAGGCGTTCAATTCTTACAATCCCCAGGGAGCTGACCTGAGAATTTTCACTGTGCCACTATTAAGCAGAAGGTTAAGAAAACTATGAATAAAATGTAAACCACGTGGCCATGAATCTTAAAACGTTTTAAATGTCTTTTTTAAACAAGTCGTTAACTAGATCTTCACAATTCCAACAGAAGCATTAGTAAGTGTCAGTATCTTTAAATGCCTGAATTACAAGACCTAATAAGACATCTTCATCAACAGTTTAGAGAAAATATTTCTGTTTTTTGGATCACACATAATTAATCTTTCTGATTAGTCATCCAAATTCAAAATGTAAGAATTTCTTTATTATTACATTTCAACATGTCAGCCTTGACCTTGGCCTGACCTCTATATGATAGCTTTGAGTTGAGATACTTGATGAATAGCTCTGGCTTTCTATTCAATCCCGTGCCACTGGTTGTCAGTTAAAAGGGGGTAGTTATTGTTGTTGTTGATAAGTGCCATCGAGTCAGTTCCAACCTGTAAGGGCCCTGTATAGGGTTTCCGAGGAGCAGCTGGTGAGCTTGAACCGCCAACCTTCCAGTTCAAATGGCTTTGCAGTGTGGCACATTAACCCACAGCGTCACACCAGGACAAACATCAGAGATGCTGCCTAGGCTTGTTCTTACCTTGGTCAATTTAAAAATAGCTCTTAGGTAATCCAAAGAATAAGAAAACAATACAGTATGCAAATTGATTGCCAGAATAAGTTAATTTATTTGGCCTTTCTGTTCCAGAAACAAAGTAAATTTTGTTCTGGAAGACTAACTTAATTTACACTGTCAAATAGTTTCCTAAGTTATAAGAATTTCTACCTTATTTACCTAATTTAGGTACCTTGAAGACAAAAAACGTTTCTGCCTCAATGCCAGGGCTAGACATAGTAAGTATTCAGTTAATACTTATTGTTCAAATTTAGATTAAATTGAATTAAAAAGCAGAGATGAAAAAAAAAAACCCACTGATTTTAAAAGAAAAGAAAATGGAAGCCAGACTTTGAGCTCCTTGTTTCATTTCTGTGTCTCGGATCTGGCTTGGTACCTGAAAAGAGGCACCAAGCCAGAGGTACCATTCTGAAAATGCAAATCTATAATGAAAATAAGGACCCATTCATGCCTCTAATGCCTTTTTAGTGAACTGTGTACAAAACCTCTGTGTTCATTTAACAAAGATACCTCAATAACACCCAATTCTGCCAGTTGTTTCCCCCTTTTTACGTTCGTATATTCAATTTTCCACATTCTCATGATGCCTCCTTATGCTACACGTGGAGTCCTGGGTTGGCACTATGGGATAAAGCACTGGACTGCAAAGCTGGTTTGAACCACAGGTCAGCAGTTCAAATGCACCAGTCACTCCTTGGAAACCCTACACAGGGTCGCTGTAAATCAGAGCCGATGCGACGGCACAAACAACAACAACACTGTGCATATATATCTGCCACATCCAAAGCTACTCATACATGTTGCATTTTTATGGTACATCTATTAAGAAAAGATGGCAAGTTATTTATTTATCTATCAAACATACATTTAGTCATCTTAACCTTATTTAGATGAATTGAAAAAGTAGATGTGAATATGTGGGTGAGAGATAGATCTACAGGCAGAGATGGATTGCCCTATATATGTAAAATATATACACACTTTCTCTAATCATCTAAATCAAGATTATCTTTCATACATATAATCTGTTTATTTATATTTATATTCTTAATGTGGTCAAAGAAACCAATTATCCAAGTATAGTTCTTATTTATGAGCTTTACTGAGTTGTGTGGCTTTTTCCCCATTATCCTTACCCTAAGTCTTTTTAATGTGATATGCTAGTCTGTGTCCAAGCTCACCTACAATTCTTTTCTCAAAAGACAAGGCACATCTGCCACCTGCTCTACTCCGTGTCCCAGCAACAACTGTCGAGCAGCATAAAGATTGATTATCAGTCAAAAACCATTGCACAACACCAGATTTTGGTGGGTTAAGCTTGCTGATCCAGCAAGAGATGGTGTGAAATTTTCAGGACTGTGTGCCAACATTTTGGTGTTAAAAGAACAGCAGTGCATGTCACAGTGAAACACGGCCAAAGATATACAAACAAAGCAGAGAAGTTTTTGTTGTTGTTCTGGACTTGGCTTTAAAAGAATAAAAGAAAAAAAAAAACAACAAATAGGAGGAAATTAATTTGTACATTTAAAAATCACCCTTCAAGGCTAGTGATGTGTGTTACTTTAGGCATACACATCTAAGAACTATTCTAAGAAGTATAGCTGCAATAATTTTTATATGTCTTTTCCATAGCACCATTAATCATATAAAAGGCAAGAATTTCTTATTAATGAAAATAACTGAGGTACTTGATGAAGAAGAACTCACTACACAAATACCAGATTTTTTTTTTTTAATCACTTCAGAGATATATGTGCTCACAAAGAACCATGTGTTGATATATGATGATGATTGGATGAACACAAAATAAAGGCAAATATATTTTGAAGTTAGTGCAAAATTTAGAAAATATGTGGGTCTCCACTACTGCATAGGTAATTTTCACTGAGTATTACAGCAACAAGTTTCTTTACAAGAACAAATTATCTTGAACTTTATAGTGAATTTATTCAAGAAACTTTTTTGCCCTGTAGATCAAATATGATCAAAGAGAGAAATCCTGCTACCGTTTTACAAAACATCATTAATAGAAGATAGATTTTCATCACTTCATCTGTAATGAGCTCCAAAATTAATTTTCTTCTTCTTATGCAATTATTGCCTAGACTTGCCTTTGATTCACCAGCTTAATAGCAGTTTCAGAAAGAAAGCACTTTTAATAAGTTATAAAATGCATACAGTAGTGCAGTGGTAGATAGTTCTTAAGTCATTTACATGTGATTACCATATGTAGCACTTGATAACCGGCATTGGGTACCACATGCTTGGAAGAATATTCTTAGATAGCGAGACTTTTACTTCTCTCTTAAAATTTATTCTTTCTAACCAAAGGGGAAAAAACCACATGTATTTTAGAAAATCTTCACATTTCTGAAGTGTTGAAATGTTAAAAAAAATGGAAGATTTTATACACATAAACATAATTTTAAGGTTCAAAAAACAAATCCAAGCTGCAGCATTTACCTTAAAAAATTACATTGGGAAAATCATATGTACATAAGAATGATATGTTCATTACTTGCCACATTTTCATAATTATGCTAATGCCATCTGAAAAAGACCAAGAGTACAGATGAGTAAATGATACTTGAAACTTTGAACTATTTTCAGAGAGAGTAAGTAATGAATTATGTCTGTTGAGTGTCACAGAAACTAAACAGTAAATTCAATAATCTCTGATTTAATTTATTATATTTTCACCATTTAACCTCCTGCCGGCTCCCTAATGTCTATTCAGATCTATATTAAATTAAGCACCAATGCTAATGAAGGGCAATAAACGTGGCTGTCAGTGGATTTTTCTTTCATTAAGCACATTATCCTCTTACTGAGCTGTAAATGCGTAAACATTAGTTTTGTTAAACCATGCAAAAAAGACAGGATGAAAATCATTTTTTAATTGCACCCCTTAAGCAATTTACTGTGTGTGGGGGTAGGGTATATGTCTTTTCCCCTTTTTTACCTTTAATTTTTTTGAATGGATCCTTAAAGGGCTCGCCAGTTGAAACATAAACGTCAACTTCCTGGGGTATATCTTTAGGTTTGAGGACTTCAGTGCCGTCTGCCAAGAACACTCGCCGAGCGGCCATGCTCAGATTCAGCTTTGCCGTGCACTCCTCCAGCAACTAGAAGAAGGCAAGAGGTAAGGCAGAGTGATTTACGACAACAAAAATAACACATTTCCACAAAACAAAAGAGTCTAATGAACAAATAGAAACTCAATTTAATCACTTGCCAAGTTAAGTAAGCCAAGTAACTGGAATATAGTTATTTTCTAGCAGACGAAAATATGGAAACAAAAAGTAAATCACAGCACTGAGAATATTGAATGATTATCTAATTTTCAACCAATGTTTTGCCATTTTCAAGACACTATCTGTTTAAATACACTACATACATAGTTTTTACTCCTTTTATATAGATATGTAAAAAGAAAAGTAAAATATCTGAGATATATATATATTATATATATGGAATTTACAAATGTTAGTATTAAAACGAAAATTTTAACGCGCAAAATGTCATATTTATCATTTTTTAATATTATAAAGGTAGTAAGGAAAGAAAAAAAAAAGCACTGAAAACTTTGGAGTGCTGGTTACCAAGGTGATAGTTGGTACAATAACTTTGGCAAAGATTGTTCTAGATCCATTTTTATAAGCTGTTACTCTAATCATTCTTGGTTGAAGTTTGTGTCTTTGAGACATTCTATGACAGCTCTGGGCAGACTGAAATTTTAAAGAAGAGAACTCTGCAATTCTGAAAAAGAAAACATAAAATAGGTGCATGTTTTAGATAAATATTATCCAGAATTTGTTCTAAAGATGTAAGACCTAAAGATTGTCCCTATGTATATAAGTGTGCCCCCTCCCAATTCTTTTTATGAGATATAGTGCCTGCCCCTTTCTGTTTAAATATTTCCTCCCGAATTGAAACAGGATAAGTTTGCACAAACAGCTCTTGTAAAACATTGTCTCAGAAGAAATCTTTTTACTTAAAAAATATCATAACCCTCATTTAAAAATAAATAAATAAATAAATAAAAAATATATATATATACACACATACATATATATGCTACATTGCAATAGGAGGCAAAATTATAATATGGTCATATGTTACTACCAATGTAGAATTATATACAACAATAATAATTATAAATGACTTTTCTTTTTTCATATTTATCAGAGTTCTTTAATTTTTTTAACTATGAAATTCAAATAATTACAATTAAAATTTGACCAAAGCCAATTACAATCACCATTTCAAATTGTATGAAGGCAGTCAGAGTTAAGATTCCTTTTCCGTACTTTTCTTTAGTCAAAACCAGTTCTGACCATTATTATTGTCTAGGCAAAATTTTATAGTAAAATTGACTAACATGCCAAATTTTTAAAGTCAAACTGCTTTAAATAAAAACTGTATATAAATTAAAACTACAATACACATGTTCAAACATTTGAAAACAATGGAGTATGAATTCCTTAGGATGATTTTTATTTTTACCAATATTTTCTTACATTCATAAACTTTTATGTTAAACATTTCTGAAAACAATCTTTAAGTAAAAACAGATATATAAAATTGTTTACAATAAATTTTTTACAATCCCATTTTGTTTCAGAATATTGGTTAAATATAAAAAGTATACATTTCTATTCATAAGCAAAGATATTTCATGGACCTGGCTTGATTTTGCTTCTAATACTTTGTTCAGAGTTAAAGATTATCCGGGTAGAAGTGTATTTCATGTTTTCCACATGTGTAATTAGCAACACTCTAGTGTTCTCAAAGAAACAAACAAAACAAACACAAAACTCTAGAGATGTGTTACATTTTAATATCTGAGATAGTCAACTAAGTTATTCTGAATTCTGCTCAAAGGACAGAGTTTCAACAGTGGGTTAAAAAGAACAAAGAACAGCTTTGATTACCTCAGTTGACCCACTGGGGCACTGACAGGTCTGTTTCTTTTGGATGCTGCTATAAGGCAAGAATTGTTTTTACTGTTTGATTTGTAGCTATCTAGAGCTGATATTTCATCATGGCTATGATCTGATGTTGTTTGATGTGTGGAGCAATCTTGAAGTCCTGACCCCTCTGGTACAGCTGCTGAATGCAAAAGTCTGCTGGGACCAAACGGAGACTGCAAATAATCTTCAGCAGTTTTAATAACTGCTTTTTCTTGGGGCGACACAAATAAACAAAGCATGGAAGAATACAATTAAATGATTTTTAATCACTGATTAATAATTACTATTTAATAATGAATTATGTGCTATGTGCGAGACACAATAATATGCACTTAACAAGCATTATTTTGTTTGATTCTTACAATATCCCTGGGAAGTCGGTAGTAGTTTTATCTTTTTTAGTTTTAAGAAACTGAGTCTGAGAACGCACAAGGTTACATTATAATCAGTAAGTGATATGGTAGAAATGCTAGTGTGACCTAAAATAAAACCCATGTTAATAACCATTAAGATTCATTGCTTTCCTTAATTAAAGAAGAAAGTTTGTGTAGTGCTTGAAAGAATATAAGTACACATTTTCAATTATTTGAATTACTTTTTAAAACACTAACACTCTGAGTATTGTTGTGCTATTGTTAAGTTCTGTCACCTCAGTTCTTACTCATAGCGACCCTGTATAGCATTTCCAAGGCTTTAGATCTTTATGGGAACAAAACCTCATAGTTCTCTTTAGCAGCAGCTGGTGGACTCAAACCTCCAACTTTGTGGTCACCAGTCTGGTGCTAAGACTACAGTGCCACACCAGGACTCCCTAATAAGTATTATTGTTGTTGAGTGCCTTCGAGTCCATTTCAACTCATAGCAACCCTGTATAGAAGGGATTCCAATGAGTAAATGTTGAGTTTAAACTACCAACCTTGCATTTCAAACCGACCTTGCAGTGAGTGCTTATCCAACAGTGCCACACCAGGACTTCTACTAAGTATTGTTGATGTTATTAGGGGCCATCAAATTGGTACCAACTCATAGCCGCCTAGGAACAACAGAAACACTGCCCAGTCCTGCACCAGCCTCACAATCGGTGCTAAGCATGAGCTGCTGCCATTGTACCACTGCATCTCATTGGGGGTCTTCCTCTTTTCCTCCAATCCTCCATTTTACCAAATATGGTATCCTTCTCCAGGGACTGGTCCCTCCTGATAATAAGTCCGAGTATGAGAGGCGAAAGCTGGCCATTTTGGCTTCCAAGGAGCACTCTGGCTGTACCTCTTCCAAAACAGATCTATTTTCTTCTTTTGTTAGTCTATGGTACTTTTAATAGTCCCCTCCAACAAAATAACTCAAATACATTGATTCTTCTATGGTCTTCCTTATTTACTGTCTAACTTTCACATGCACATTGAGGTTATGGAAAATACCATGGCTTGGGTTAGGCACACCTTAGTCCTCAAACTGACATCTTTGCTCTTCAACAGTTTAAAGCCGTGATTTGCAGCAGATTTGCCTAATGCGATACATTGCTTGATTTCTTCCTTTTTTTTTTTCATATTCACAGTTATGGTTTTATTAGGGAATAGTTAATAGGTTACAAAATAGGAAAATGCTCAGGGCACAGCTGTTCTCATCAGGTGCTGATAAATGCTCACAGGCGACACCACTCCACTGTAAGCCTCCACCTGAATTCAGGCATTCAGCTCTAGCTCCATAGGTCAGCAAACATAGCTTCCCCATTCATTGCCTAGAGGCACCACACTCTAACAAGCTTCCTGCCCAATGTCACTGAGCTTTACTTGATCCATGGGCTAGGAAGATCACTGCTCTGTCTCCTGCTCTGGTTCTTGGATCTGCTGCTGCTGCTCCTGTGCCGCTCCTCCGATGTCACATCTTTCTGTCCCTGGGTCAAAGAGGCTCTATGCACAGAGACCTCAGAGTTCAAAGGATGCGGTCCATACCTGACTTCTTTTATTTATTTATTTAAGGTTTTTATTGTGGATTGAGTAAAATTTTTCAAGGCAAATCATCAGTTTTACATTCAACAAATCATACAC